TTTTTTTTCTTTTTTTTATTTTTTTATTTTTTTCCCCATTCAGAGAAATGTTAAATGCAGCACTCAAATGGCAAAGTCTGTCTGGAAACATCACCTGATGGGCACCTGCCCTCTCCTAAAACTGTCCCCACTACTCTACCAGGGGCTGCCTTCTCTCTTCCACTGCTAGCATTTATGAGGTGCCCTGGGCAACTGATTCTGGTGGGGGGAAAAAAGGTTTATTTCTAGTCCAGACCAGCTCCCTGCTTCATCTCCCTGCAATGCCCACAAATAGCTGTGGCAGAGAGGGAGCAGCCCAAAAGAAGTTGAAATGGGAGAGGAAAGAAGAGCTGAAGCACTGTGTGGGCAAGTAGCTGTGCCACAGCCCTGCTGCCAAGCTAAAAAAAAATTATCCCAGTGGAAATAAATCAATCAAGCATGCTGGTACAGGCCTCAGTATTCTAGTGCTTAAACAGATTTAATTTCACGTGATAAAGAGTTAATGCTTTACATTTTGTGCTGTTTAAGCAGCTTTAGTTGAAATCCATCAGCCCATTTCATAAATGATATGAGCAAAAAGGGGCAAAATTATCAACTTCTTACACCTCAAGGAAAAATTAATTTGACTGCATAATTATTGACTCTGCATATTTTTCAGTCTTAAAAAATGATAATTCAGGGCCTCACTTATAATGCTCCTTTGAGCTCTGGGCCGTGTAAAGTTTTGAACATTCCCTTTGTCCTGGGAAATGAAACATTCATCCGTCACGTCTGCACAGCAAAACCGCCTATTCTTGGAGCTGTGGTTACGTGACTTAGGCCCAGCCTTCCTCCTCCCCTCCCTCCCCTCCCACACCTTCCCTCTAAATTTCAATAGTATTAGAGAAACATCATGGCAATAAAGACTGTGAGACACCAGTAGGGACTGAAATTTCCTTTCATTTCTCTGTAGATTTGCTCCCAGTATTACAAATTTCACCACAGCAATCTGTGCCTATCAGAGTGACCTTGGTAGCCCTCAGAAGCATTCCTAGTTCCATTTTCACTTTGGACACTGCTGCTTGCATTAATGACTTCAAGAAAAATGTCACCTGTATTTTTTTTCCCCCCAATATTGAATTCTAATACCATTTTTTGGGCATGTTCTTTGGGAAATATGAAGCTTCAGCAATGTCATCTCAGAAGCTGTAACTATTCAACTCAAATTGTTTGCTTTTAGCTTTGGAGTTTTAATAAATCCATGGGGTCTATATGTCAATGAAGTAAGTTGTTACTCCCTTTTTAAAATTATATTGCGAAATAATAATTTAGAGTGTTAAGGTCTCCTCTATCTTTCCATCATCATAAGAAAACTAAAATCATGAATCATGGACTGATTTAGATCAAAAGGGACCTTAAAGACCATCCAGTTCCAACCCCCTGCCATGGGCAGGGACACTTTCCACTATCCCAGGTGGCTCCAAGCCCTGTCCAACCCTGTTGAACATTTAAACTGTAGATTAATCTATGTGTAAATGTCTTTGTAAGTACAAGAGTTTCCCCAGAGAAGTTGTGGCAACCCCATTCCTGGAAGTATTGAATTCCAGCCAAGATGGGGCTTGGAGAAACCTGGTGTTGTGGAAGGTTGGGACCAGATGATTTTAAGGTCCCCTCCAAACCACAGCATTCTGTGATTCTGTGATAATGGAAGGGTCTTGTAGAGGGAGAAAAAGTGGCAGAAAAAATCCAAGATGTTTTATAAGTTTTGGGATGTTGTTCTATGTGTAGGGACAGGAGTGCAGAAACAGAGAAGGCAGGGCTGGGAGGAGGCAACAAATTGTTGTGAAATCAACCAATATTTTACGAACTATGCAAACTTTTAATAAAATCTAGAACCATTCCACAAAAAAGCTGCAAGGGAATCCCTGAGACAGTAGTGAAAACATCAGGTTTTCACCTTTGGAAAGCTCAAGGGGAGAACAGCAGCTCCTTTTACTGCACATCCAGTGTCTCCTCTGCAGCTGTGCCATCCTGAAGGCAAACTGCCACCACTAGAAAACTTGGCAGAGGAGCTGCTGGAACAGGGAGTGTGTTGATGGTGGAGGTGATGAGTGGAGAGAAGATGTAGTAATTACTGATCTACTACGTGCCTTCCTCTGCTCAGGAGGAGCGTGGGAGCAGGCTTGCAGAGGTGGTGCTGTTCAAGGACTGGTAGGAAGTGAGAAGTTTGAGCCTGTGGAAAACTGGTCCTTTAGATGTGCTTTTATGGTGAAACTAAGCAGCTCAAAGTTCTGTTGGTTATTGTGGAAACTTTTTTGTTTAAATGAAAAAAAAAAAGCTATTTTAATGAAATAATAATAATAAAAAAGACCCATAAGCCCATTATTTTCCTTTAGACGTGTCTTTCTCCTTAACCACAAACAGCTGGAAATTTGCACACAACAGCGACAGTAGGAAGGAACTCATTTTAATGGAATGTCTGCACTGCAGAGTGGCAGAATCAGGCTGAAAACACAGAAAAGCCAGGTTTTCCAAAATGATCCATGGTGATCAGAGTTCCTATATTGTAGATTTCAGAATAAAACCCCTCCATACCGATATTCATTCTGCCTGAAAAATGAAAACCTTTTGAGATATCTTACATTGGGTTTCTCTGTGTTCCCTCCTAGGATGAAAAGTGGCAGGCAATGCCTTCTGTGGTTTTTATAGCCATGACTTCAACAGCACTGAATAAACACATGGAGTGCTTCAGATGTGGTGGCTGAAATGGAAAATTCTGGTGTGGACACCAGCAGCTTACTCAGAGGCAATTTATTTTTCTAATACATGGACCAAAAAAGTGCATCCCCGGGGAATGGGAGATGTTGCTTCTCTGAAACGGGAATGCACATGATCCTTCTTCAAACATGGGTTGAAATGGCTGTGGGGTGCACGGTCAGTAGACAATTTGTGGGACAGCCTAAAGGTTATTTACCTTAAAACACTGATACATTGCAGGAAACCTGATGGATGCTCAGTCAGAATTTTTTTCTTAAATTGTAATGTTTTTGGGAAGGAGGGGAGAGAGAATGTGTCCAAATTCTGGCATGAGCTTGTGATGACAGCACTGGTCACGATGGTTTTATAAGATTTTCAAGGGTTATAATAATATTAAATGTTTGTAAGACAACTAAGACTCCCTGTTATAGTCTTACTACTGAAAGCACTTCGAATTCAGGACAACCTGAATATGTACATTCTCCCCAAATGGGAATGCAAGTTAATCAGCAAAATGCAGGTAAGAACTGAATATTGTCACCAAACATCATTTTGAAAGTATGTGTGATGGTGAATTAAAACTTTATAGGTTTAATTTCTCTTACCAGCTTTTTTCATAACTACTGAAAAAGTAGATTTAACATTATGGGCTGAAATTTTTCCATGTTACACCTCTGCAGGGAAATCTTGCAGTTCTTGAGATTTTGTAGCTTCTGAAATAAGTTTAGGAAAAAGTATGAGATTTGCCCATGATAAATACATTTATAAGTGTTCATTATCCTCTGGAATGAGCTGATTAAAACTGACAGGAACACAGCTATAATTTTATTTTAGACAAGACTTTGAAAGTTAGCATAATTAAGGAATGCATAAGGCTTTAGGGGAGAATGAAATAAATCCTTAACACACTGCAAGGAAAATTTTCCCACTTCAGCTCTCCAAAGACACTTTCTTGCACTGGGTATGCTCTGTTCCCTCCCAGACCCAACCTACAAACAGACCCTGGAGGCTTCAATCCCACAGATATTCCCAAAAGTAGGTATAACTTCAGTTCCTCACAGCTGTGGTGGCTCTGGGAGATGAGAGGTTTCTTTCCAGGTTCTCATCATTCCCACAATCTGTGTAGAGAAGCAGACAGAAAATACTTGAAATAATTGAAAAAGATGAGCAGGGCTGATGGACAAAGAGCAGTGCCAGAGGTGGAAGCAGGGTTGTAGGATGGACTTTTGTGTGGGAAGTTGGGAGCTGGGGTTTATAAATTGATTTAAGGAATGGCATGAGATGAGAATAGGAGAACAGAGAACAACATTTGAAAAGGATTTCCTATCTTGAGTCTCTGGTCTTGCAATGTTAATACTTGCCTAATGTTGATGGGGAATCTGAAGTCCTTCAAGATGGTACAAACTGAGAGACAAATGAAATAAATTTTCCTTATATCTTGAGTCTCTGGTCTTGCAATGTTGACACGCCTAATGTTGATAGGGAATTTGAAGTCCTTCAAGATGGTACAAACTGAGAGACAAATGAAATAAATTTTCCTTTAGCTCTGAGTGAGAATGGGTATTTCTGGAGTGGGATTCAGCTGGCCTGCCTTGAAGCTCAGGATGAGATGAATGAGCTGAGTGTTTGTATTTCTAGACTTTGGCTAAAAGACTTGACTCATTGATATTCAGACACTGAACTTTCAGAAGTCTGACACAAACTGGGAAGAATCCTCTGTGAATTTTGCCTTCAACTCAATGCCCAAATAGGTACACAGCAAAATTTGTGCTCACGTGCCTGTCAGGAGGCTTTGATTTCGCATTTTAAAGTGTAGCACTGTGGTCATTACACTCCATAAAAACTCCCAGATACACTGGACCCATAAAAGAAAAAGGTTTCATTATAAAAAATTGACAGTAACTGTTAAGAGAGTGTTTCTCTTATGCCAATCATGTTGATTTAATATGGGATTAGTAACAGTTAGAACTGTCCATCCCCCCAAAAAACATTTTGTGTTAAAATAAATGAGTTTTGCCAGGAGCATAGAGAATTCCCATAATCTTGGCATCAATCACTCAATTCATCCAGTCCAGTCTTTGAACAAAGTCAAAAATTTACAAAGCTTAAACACAGCATGGAGAATTGTTAATATTTATCTCCCACTTCACATCCCTGCTACGTCACTTCTGTGCAAAAAGATAAATGCTTCAAATCAGCAACTGAGAGGAGAAAGAGAAGTCAAAAAGCAGGTGAAAGATGCTAAGAGAAGCTGAAGAAGTGAGGTCTGGCTCTTGCTTTGGAAAATGAACTCTTGTTCTTTATATCACTGTGCTCTGCACACCCTGAGTCTGGCAGTGCTTGTAAGTAATTGCATGGGGGGAAAAAAAAGCTTTTACTTCATTGTGTTTCAATAATTGTTCATTTCCTTGTGGGAGCAGATGGTCAGATACAGCTTTATTTTAAAATAATTTTTTATGAGTCTCTTTTCTCTCTGTTTTCTTTGGATTCCAGTTAAACAAGGCAAGATGCAATGAAAAGTGTGAACAGCAGCAGAAGGGACCCACGTTGTGAGATCTTTATATCAGTTTATTTCTCTGCTTTCTTATGACACACTCAGTAAAGAGAAACACATAAAGAGAAATTCTTATTTTGTGTGTGTGGGCTTTGAAAGACAGTGACAGGAGAAAAAACTGGAGGAGGGCTGTTACACCAGAGCAGCTGAGTTTTGATAGAGTTTTCTTTCATTTCAGATTCTGCAGGTTTTTTGTTACAATTTCATCTGCCTTAGTGGTAGCATTGCTATTATTTGGCACGTAAGCAGCTGAGATGCTGCAGGTAACAAGAGTGGAACCAGCAGAGATGTTTAGGGCAGATTTAGAAAAATCCAAAGCCATTAAATAGCTTGGTAATATCTTTGGATAGAGATTGGCAAACCAAGACCCAGGATCACACCAGTATCAGGAAAGGTTTGTGCAAATCAGAAGGATATTGTCTTTACTTTTGAGAATAATCACATCTCCAGCATCTTCCTTTTGTCATGCCTCCTCTACATCCCTTCTTCTTTCCTGGGAATCTCTTCCCTGAAGGGACATTTTATGATGAAATCCAAAGCCATTAAAAAGCTTGGAGTTCTTGGTAATATCTTTGGACAGAGACTGGCAAACCAAGACCCAGGATCACACCAGTATCAGGAAAGGTTTGTGCAAATCAGAAGGATATTGTCTTTACTTTTGAGAATAATCACATCTCCAGCATCTTCCTTTTGTCATGCCTCCTCTACATCCCTTCTTCTTTCCTGGGAATCTCTTCCCTGAAGGGACATTTTATGAGGGGTGACACAGCAGTTTGGAGTTTTTTCCCTCATTGAGGAAAATAAACCACTGTGAAATCTGAACAGATTTTTTACTGATGTGAAACAAGAGATTTCTCTGTACCACCTGTGTGACAAACCCACTTCCCTGACTGTTCCTAAGTAGAATAGCAGGACTCAGTGCTAATGGTTTAAAATATGACTGAAGGTCTCTGTAAGAACCTGCCTCATTTAGCCAAGAGAAAGTGAATTTTCTCCTACAAAGTTGGGTTGCTTTCTGTATTATTATATACTGATCAAAACCATGAGTGGTGTACAATGAAAATGTCCTAGCATGGGTTGCATACTAGAGAATAGGTGAACAAACCTCATTTGAGTATAAAATGATGGAAAAGCAGCTCTCTGGTTTTGTTGGTGGTATAATTTTTTCATATACTTTCTCTGGAAAACATGAACTCTGCTCCTGGAAAGGTTTGAAATGCTAGTCTATGTGTTGGTGTACAATGAAAATGTCCTAGCATGGGTTGCATACTAGAGGATAGGTGAACAAACCTCATTTGAGTATAAAATGATGGAAAAGCAGCTCTCTGGTTTTGTTGGTGGTATAATTTTTCATATACTTTCTCTGGAAAACATGAACTCTGCTCCTGGAAAGGTTTGAAATGCTTGAGAGACTGACTCTCATCTCCTTAAAGTGGGGGTCTGCTAGAGGTAAAGTGCTTTGGGGTGATAAATATACCTAAAACACAGCCTGGGAGTGGAATAAATCTTTTTAGTTTATTTAACCTGAGTTTCTGTCATATCAGATCTCCCTCTCAGTGCTTGCTCAGGCAGTGGTTAGTGCTGACTTGAAAATAAACTGTGACAGCACCTCCTAAGGCTGGTTCTTCTTGCAGAAGGCAACAATTTAAATACCTGGTACTTGAGCAGCTTCATCTTTTCATTTGAGATGCATGTGCTAAATTAAGCATTCTCACAATCTGGAGACTTAGAAAGTAAAAGTGGAAAAAAAGACTTTCCTGGAGTTTCCTGGACTGGTGAATGAGCCAAACAAGCTCTGCTTTTGCCATGGACATTTCAAAGAGCAGAGGGAGTTTTGACAGGCAAAATCTAGCAATGCTTTTTGCCAGGAGAAATAATTTAGAATAGTGCAAATGGATGCATTTCCTCCTGCTGAGGTTTTTCTGGGCACAGTTCACTGAACCAAGAGAATGTTGTAAAAGAGATTTTCAGTAAATGGTTTGACTGTTTCTTCTACTGACTAATAAAGCTGATTCTTGCAATAGCTGTTATACGCCGTGGTTAGGGAGTTTTCCTGCAGTCACTGTCCAGGGTGGGTACAAGGGGAGAAATAATATATGTTGGCATGAAAAGAGGCATCAAGACAGCAAAGCTTTTCAAGACAGGTGCCAATTTTCTGTAATTCTGCCTGACACTGCATTTCTTAGTGAAGAGAAATGGAGGGTCTCCATAGACTCCCTGGTTTTATTCATCTGGATAACATCCTTGGAGCATCCCACGTGTCAGATCTCCTCCTCCTGGGGCAGGGCAATGTCTGTGCTCTGCTCCATCCTCCGTCCATCCATCCATCCATCCACAGTTACCCTCCTCTCACACACACCAAACTCCATTCAGCCTGGAGAAGGAGCCCTGCTTTTTGCTGCTGCCTTAAACTGATCCATGGCACTGCTGTCTGCAAATCTGGCAGGAAAACCACATCCTCCTAAAAGTGCAGTAAATGAGAAGCAGATGATCATGCAGGGCAAACATGTGGAAATAATGACATTTTTAACTACCAGGGCCCAAACCCCAGAAAAAACAAATGCTGTGTAATTAATCCACTGCTCTCCAGCAGTTTGAGTGCCTTGAATTTTTGGTCAATATGCAGTTCAAATGCTCCGCAGGCCAACATGAGACATGGACATTAACATGGAGGGGAGAGACCAGCTTATTGGAAAGGATAAAATCTGCCCTCTGAATGAACTGAAAGCCAGAGAGTTATTTTCCAAATTCCCTGAATATTAATCTTCTCTGGGTGGAAGAAAACTGAGCCATATGCCAGCCACCTGTTCACCATGCAAGTCTCATCCTGGGTTCATTTTCTGTTTTGTCTCTGTGTTTTTATGTCTATATTCACAAATGCTTCATCAGCACCAGTGGCCAGGGTGAAGAGATAAAAGTCAGAGTGTCTCTGATCACAACTCATCTTTGGGGTCTGGGGACAGAGGTTAAGGCTGGACAAGGCACATATATTTTAATTTGAGTGAAATAGTCCTGTGCACTCCAGCCCAGTGGGTGTATCCTCAGCAATCTGGGTGTAACAGCCTGGGCAGATTTTGTTTTTTGCTGCCCAAAGTTCTCTGGATGCCTTCAGATCCTCCTGTAGTTCCCATATAAGTCTAAATAAGAACTAAACAAACTGAATGTCTCCTGCTATTAAAACCCTGTGTGTCACTTTTTTCTTTACACCATCATTGGTGCAGAATGCTTTTTTTCTCCAATAAAGGAGTTTTGCCTCCCACCTTGTGTAAAGAAAGGCAGATGGCAGAAGGGAGAGAACAGATTCACTCCTTTTGAAGTGAAGAGATCTTTCAGGTGACAGTTTTGCAGTAATTGTCTGTGATTTCATGGTGATGCTTCTTTGGAGGTTGGTGGGGGTTTGTCTGTGCACAGGCTCTGCAGCATTTCCTGCAGCACTGAGCCCTTCACTGGTGAGAAAATGAACCTGGCTAGGGGCAGGGGCCATATTTAACAGGATCTAGATAAACTCAGGCTCCAGCAAAGAGATCTTTTATTTTGAATGTGGCCAGAGGAATTGATAAACTTTCTAGTGCAGAGTTGTAACCACCAGCTTGTGCAGAGACAAGCAGCCTTTGGATGGAAACCTTAAGCACTGTTCTATGCCCTTAAACCAGCCCTGTTAGATGCAAAAGTAGGTCTGGACTTAATGCCTGATGGGATCCCATCCAACCCCTTCTATCTGATGCCCCTAAACTCTCCTCCCTACAGGTTGCTGGGAATGTCCACCCAGAATGTGATTTTATGGTAGAGCTAAAGAAAAAGGAAGCTGAATGTCTGGAGGTCCCACAAGAGCATGGAAATGAAACATCACCAGGTATCCATCCATGTGTGAGGGAGAGGGAAGGGACCAGAGTCAGGACATGGCCAGGCTGCCAAAGGACATGAGGGTTTTATTTATGGTCCCACATGCTGTTGTCTTGTCAGCTCTTCTTCCATCTACCCCCATTCCTTTCTATACTTTTCTTTTTTCCCACAGTCCTTCACGTTCAAATATGGACAGTCAATTTATCAGAGTGAATCCTTGTGCCCTTGTCCAATTTCTTGGCATCATGCTTGCTTGTTTGTGAGGGTGTGTTGATCTTTAAAAATAGGGCAACTCCTGAGGAATTACAGTGATCTGATCTTTTTTCCAGCCTCACTCTTCATTTATTGCATTCTTTCTGAAAACTCACCTCAGTCTAACACAGGGGTCTAACTAAAGCAGATTAAATAGCACTTTGGGGGTGTTTATTTCTCATAATAAAAACTGTGGCTAAACTATATTTATAAGATATGGAAGGGGTGGAGTGGCAGAGTTTAAAAAGGTTTGGGGTTTTATTTTGCTCAAATTTAACCATGCTTAAAAATAAATTTCACTTTCTGTCTGAGGTTGCAAGAGAACTTGGGACAAATTGCTGTGCTGGCCAGAGGCAGATGCTGGAGAAATTCTTGCCTTACCATGTCCAAACATCCTCTTTCACTTCATGAAGGAGCCAGGTGATGTCCTACCATGGTTACTCTCGTTGTGTGTATGGCAAGAGCATTTCTAAAAGGGAGGGTGAAGACAGAGAATTTCATGCTCCTGTGAGCTGGATCAGAGAAGTGCAAAGATTTTTAGGAGGATCTGAGGGACCTTAGCAATTCTTCTAATATTTTAAGGATTATCCATAAGTGGATTTGATTCCCATAGTCTCTGATGAGACCCTGGATCAAATTTTTTTTTTTTTTTCACTTCTGCAATACAGGGAGTGATTCCAGGTTTCCATATGCTCTGGGATCAGTTTGTTGCTTGAGTTTTCTACAAAGCTCATCTGGAGGCTGTCTGGGTCAGAACTTAAGCTTGGGGTTTCTCGAGATTTATGCTGTGATTGGTGTGGGATGAAATGAAAGGCAGAGGAATGAACAATGTGATTGTTCTTTAAGACCAAGGTTGGAGATACAAAGCAGAATTTAGCCCTTGGAGCAGCACATGTGTTACAAAACTGCAAACAAATACCTTTGTGTCTGCTCCCTCTCTGGGTGAGCATAGCCAGTAACAAAATGTGAGCCCACAAGGAGCAAACCACCTTCCAGGAAAGACCTGGATTTGGCAGTTCCACAAGAAAAAGAAACTGCAAAACCCAACCTCTGCCACATTCAACACATGCTACTTATAAACGAGGGATAAGGAAAATCCCTTTCATCTGTGCAGATTCATTTCCTGCCCTGGGATTTTTGACTTCTCCTTCATCTGACTCATAAATATATTTTTTTTGTGGAAGCATGCTGTCCTCATGGAAGGGGCTGCTTATGCCAGCTTCTGATCTGCTAGGGAAGAGAAGGCCCTAGGGGAGGTGGGAATGAGAAGGGATATGGTGGAAGGATGAGTGCTGTGCAGAACAGAAATTTATGAAGCAGTGCTTCTTCTCCAGTGTGCCTGATATAATTCCTTCCTTAGTCATTCCCACTTCTACTCCATCACCTTTGTTCTTTCCCTTCTTCCCATTGCTTGTCTATAAATAAAATACAAAGTTTTGTATTGATGACTTGAATGTGCACAGGAAAATTGTCCTACTGACTCTGTGAGATGCTAATGATCCTCTTCTCCTGGTACAAGTTTGTATCAGCCCAAGGTCTTCTCCAGGTTTTTATTTTCCATATTATCTCGTCCTCCACTGAGAAAATTAAATACCTCTTTTTCAGCTGGGATGATAAAAAGAAACTGCACAAAAAAGGGCTGGTCTGACCCATTCCCTCCCTACCATGTGGCCTGTCCAGTAGAAGATGAGATTCCTCTTGAAGAAGTAAGTTTAATTACACAAATATATGTGAGTGGTGTGCTGATGTTATAGTATTCCTTTATATTCCTGAAGAGGGAAACTAGGAAGAATCTGAAATTTCTTTCTAAGTATGGGATATAATTCCAATTTTTAGTCTGGTCAATAATTCCAGTTTTTACTTATTTTGTAAGATAACTGAGAATGGTTTATTATTCAGGTGTAACAATAACAAAGCCAGCTGTAAATTCACAAGTATAACAAACAAAGATGTATCACAAAATGTTCATAAATGTGTATTAAGACGTTTCAGTAATGTCAGTCAGCAAGATGAATTTGTAGTATCACAGCATCTGTACAGAAAATGTGCTATTAAAAGACCACTGTTAAAAATTTAGCAATGTAAGGAAAAGAGGGGTTTTGGGTGTCTCATCCTGCATGAAATATCTAATTCAACAATGGAAAAAAAGAGTCCCAAAATCTTTGCAATCTCTGTAATGCAGATCAGAATTTGACATATTTCTTCAGCCAGACTTTCATTGTTGGTGATACCTTGAGGTTAAAGGCAGAGGGAAAATATAGTGCTTGACCCCTAATTGATAAGGATAAAAACATGGTTCATATCACCATGGGGAGATTTTGCACAGGTTCCCAGAGAAGCTGTGGCTGCCCCTGGATCCCTGGAAGTGTCCAAGGCCGGGTTGGACAGGGCTTGGAGCAACCTGGGATAGTGGAAGGTGTCCCTGCCCAAGGCAGGGGGTGGGACTGGATGTTATTCAAGATCCCTCCCAACCCATTCTGTGATGATTCCATTATTCCACCTAGAGGAAACTCCTCAGTTGTAGGTTTATCCACTTAAGGAGTTGATTATTTTCTCTTTTACACATCTGATTTGTTGCCAGCTGTGGTCAACCTAGCACAGTTTTGATGTTTCTCATGGAGTGGTGCATCCAGACTTCCTGGCAAGCTTTGGAGCTCTGAGGTGCTTCAGTGAGCTCTGGTTGGAATTGTGCACAGTCAGGGATTTGGGTAATTCTATACAACTCACAGTTCACCCACTAGACAAAAAAACCCCATTATGCCTGGTTTCCACCCCATTTAACTTCTTCTGTCTCAAAAGAATACTGGGAAAGTTGGAGTTGATCTCTGCACCATGGATCTGTCTTAGTGCTTTAGTCAGGATCAGGTGGGAATTTTGCAGGGATATCTCTTGGCTGTCCCCACTTACTGCATTCCCACTGAGGCATGCTCTCAGAAAGGATAATCTGGTTTCTTATGGATAAAATTGAACTGGAAGTTAAATTCAGGGTGCACCTGCTGTGCTCTGAGCAGTGATAACAGCTCAGCCCATTGGATCAGACTGTGGATAATCATAAATCTGCACACTTGGATGCAAAGTCCTTGGCATAAAAGATTTCACTCTACTAATCCAGGAGTTGGAATGAGATGATATTTAAGGTCTCTTCCAACCCAAACCAGTCAAGGATTTATGAGTCTATGACCTGCCCTTTTTAAGGCAGGTGTAGTGATAGATCCTTTTTGTTGGTCACAGAAACCAATAACGTCTGATTTTCTAAAGACTTGAATTGTCTTCTGAGATTGTTTCCCTTCATTAAATATAAAAGAAAAAGGATGAGAAAAACCAGGTTTGTATTAATAATTAAACAGATCAGCCCTGTGGCCAGGCTCTTCTCGTTCTACTACAGACTCATGTTTAGGCAGCTAATTTTTAAGCACATAAATACATTAAATAAATATCAGTCTTATAATGCCTAAAGTTCCACTTAAGGCTCAAAATGAGCATCTCCCCTTCCCCAAGTGAACTGTAGAAATGTACTTCACAGCTGTGCAGATTTTAGGTTATAAAAGCATTGAAATGGGACCCAAGAGACAGATCATGTTAGACTGGAGTTAGATTTGCAGCCTAGAGCTTTTTCATTCTGTTTTCTGCTTTCCTCTGAGACAGTTGAAGTCAACTTATTTTTACTCAGATTGTGTCTGATAGAGGAGCCACTTAAATTGAAATGGATTTTGACTGACATTCCAACAGAGCAGTAGCTGAGTTTGGCAGCAAGAAAAACAGAGGAAAGAAACAACACCTGAAAAAAGAAAACAACAAATCAACCCATAACAACACAATAAAAATTGAGAGGAGGAATAGGCAGCAAAAATGGAAGTAGGGAAGCAGAGAGTAGGAAAGAGGAGAAAAATAGAGATAGGCTGACAGAATTCAGTATTAATCATGCTGCTAGCAGCATTGTCCTGCTACTGCTGGGGAGAAAACATGGTATAGAGCACAGCATTTATAAAATTTGCATAAAATTTTGAACAATGCCTTTTTCAAAGACTGGTGCAGGTTTTTATGGTTTTTGAATGAGCTTCAAACTACCCTGACCAATACATGTTTCAGCATCAGATTGGGCTGTATCCACATAACTATGGAATGGGACTACACAAAAGAAACATAATGAGTGATTTAAGTTGAATTTTGCTGTGGGAAAGAAGAGGGGAACAGAGGCAGTCAGGGATGTCAACAGAATGGAAGCACCAAACAAAGCAAAACTGACAGTATCAGTAAAAAAGCTGTTATTTAACAGCAACTTGTGTGACAAATTGTTCTTTTCTTTTCTAGCAATCCTACTTTTCTACTATAAAGATCATCTACACTGTGGGATACAGCGTGTCCATCACCTCCCTCATCATTGCTGTGACAGTTCTGATTGCATTCAGGTAAAGGTGTCCTCTAACCTCAATTCTTTTCACAGTTCTTAATTTCTTAGACTATGGAAGACAACATTAGACATAACAAAATAATAGAAATAGAAATCCAGGTGAATAAAAATAAAATATTCCAGTCATATTGGTTAAATAATATGAAACTGAAGCTGGAAATTAAAAGGCATTAGAGAGAGCCAGGAATAAGAAGATTTAGATCTGGGAAATAAATCCTGGCTGTCTCTTGGCAAAACTCAGATACTCACTTTGATCCTGAAGAACTAACAGAAAAATTTACTTGCTTTAGGCTGGAATGAAGATTTTTTTTTTTTCCTAAACTATGCATGCCTGCCTGTTATGGCACCAGGGAATTTTTAATAAGAATATACACAAAGGACTTGATTCTGAATGAAAGTTCCCATGGCATTGTATAGATTACTATTGAAACGTTTACCACTAAAGACATGTTTGAAAGTTTGTTTCAGAATTTGGTCACATTTGGTGAGAATTCTTTCTTACTGAGTTAGGTATTTTATACATATTTATAGGTATATTCAGGTCTAATTAAGAGTATTTAAAATATTTTATCGTGTAATGTAGATTTAATGTTTGCCACCATGTGGGATTATTTTATTGATCTTTGCTTATTTCTTGTATTTCTGTGAGACAAAAAAAGAAAAAAAGAGGAAAGAAAAAGGCAGGAGTTTTATTATTATGCTGTGAGAATCAGGGTTCTCTAGGGAAAATTTCTTGACCTCTGCTGGTTCCTAGTTCGTGTCTGGAAGCCACCAGATATGTTTATTGACATCCACTCTGACCTCAGGAAAACAAACCAGCCCAAATGAGGGGAAAGAAAGAAACAATGGACATAAGGAGACGTAGTAATAGGGAGGAAAAAGTCATAATTAACAATGGGGTTGACATTTGAGGTCAGCAATAAAATTCTGCACACTCCAGGTGAACTTTCAGATTAGGTGACCCTCAGATTACTGGGTCTGGATAGAATTTGCCTTTTAGTGGAACTTTTTGATTATTAACTCAAGTCCTCATCTCCAGATGAAAACATGAAGCTGTATAACTCCCTCAAAAATCTGTATATAATAACAGCAAAAATTTAATCTTAGTTAACTGGGAATTTAAGGTAGATTTGCAAATTGAATTTAAAGTAAATGTGCCAAATTGCTCTAAAGCTCTTCAGTGCTTTTACTTATATCATCAAAATAACTTTGGTAAAGGAAAAAAAACTGTAATTCTGGTTTAAAAGGAAAGAGATTAAGATGTAGATTGTGGCTGATTTGCTTCACATGAGGAAGTTTTCTGCCTCTCTCTGAAAGAGCTCAGTGGATCAAAATGTTCTTCCTAAATGTGTCTGGAAGTACCTGAGATAAAACAAGGGCTTATTGCTTATTTTAATTACTACCAGCACAAGTAAATTAATTAACTCAGAGGGATCTCTCCTTTTCTTCCAGGAGGCTTCGCTGTCCCAGGAATTATATCCATGTACAGCTCTTTTTTACATTCATCTTAAAGGCTATTGCCATTTTCATTAAGGATGCTGTCCTTTTCCAGGAGGAAGGCATTGATCACTGCAGCTTCTCTACAGTAAGCACATGAAAAGCAGGATATTGTGGTATTTGATGTTTTTATGTACCATTTATTTATGGTTTCACTTTTCATGCTCTTTTTTACTACTTATTGTTTTGCTTGGTTTTTTTTTCTTTTTTTTTTCCTTCTAACCTGGTAATGAAAATTACAAAATTCTTTCATTCAGTATAATTTACTTCCATAAATATGTACCATATTATGGTCTCCTACATTCTTAAAGCATCAATTTGTGATGTTGCAGCACTCTAAATGAAATCTGGACTTTCACATAGCAACAAAGTAGTACCATTACACTGTTATGTTTCAATAATCTGAAGCCTAAAATTAAAGATCTCTGAGTACATCAAAGAACAACTTTTAAAGCTTATTATTCTGGAAATGTTTGATTTCCTGTTCTGCTCTGTAAACCACAAAGCACTCAAGGTACCAGGCAATGAATTTAGCATTCATCCAGCCCCAGACCTTGGCAATGGTTTTCAAGCAGAGGTTTATGGGATGGTTCTGCATTGCTCACAACCACACAGAATTTTAGAGCTGAGCATAAGGAGAAAACCTTGAACCTTTATTCAAGGAGCATTTGACACTGAAGGTACACCCAAGGCAGTGAATTTGTGAGAGATCACATGCTTGGGTATTGTATTTGCAGGGTGCCACAGTGAAAGAAGTAATGATGAATCTGACGCCATGTTCTCAGAAGGCTAATTTATTATTTTATGATACTATATTATATTAAATAATACTATACTATACTGAAAAATACAGAAAGGTTACTTACTGAATGCTAAAAAAGACAATAATGAAAACTCGTGACTTTCTCCAGAGTCCCCACACAGCTTGGCACTGATTGGCCAATGAGACAAAATAATTCACACCAGACACCAATGAAACAATCACCTGTGGGTAAACAATGTCCAAACACATTCCAAAGCAGCAAAACACAGGAGAAGCAAATGAGATAAGAATTGTTTTCCTTTTTCTCTGAGGCTTCTGAGCTTCCCAGGAGAAAAATCCTGGGCGAAGGGATTTTTCCAGAGAATGTGAATGCCACACTTGGGAGCCCAAGTCATATTTCTAACACAGAGATAGAAAGCAGAATGCAGAGGGGATTCCAAGGTGTTATGATGGCTAAAGCCTTACTACTCAGAAATCCATGTTACATTTGAAGCTCTCAGTTTAAACATCAGTTTAAAGCTCTTGTTCTTGGTAGAATTCAGCCAATATCACAGATGTCTACCTCACGGTCAAACCAAAGAGATGTATCTCCAAGCAATACCTAAACTGTGACTTTCCTGTTCCTCAGACTGAATGCAAGATCTCTGTGGTTTTCTGCCATTACTTTATGATGACCAATTTCATGTGGCTGCTGGTGGAGGCTCTCTACCTGAACTGCCTGCTGCTCTCATCCCTTTCTCATGGAAGAAGATATTTTTGGTGGCTGGTTCTCTTTGGCTGGGGTAGGCTTTCACGGATTTTACAGAAAATTAGTAAAAGGCAAGGTGTTAAACGAGGCTGTGCAGCCTGGAGAAGACAAGGCTCCACAGAGACCACAGAGCAACTTCCAGGGGGTACAAGAAAGCTGGAGAGGGGACTTTTCCCAAGGAATGGAGTGATGGGACATGGAAATTCCATACTGTGAGGGCGGTGAGACCGTGGCACCGGATGCCCAGGGAGGCTGTGGACTCCCCATGCCTGGAAGTGTCCAAGGCCAGGTTGGATGGGGATCTGGGACAGTGGAAGGTGTCCCTGTGAGTTGGAGCCAGGTGATTTTTAAGGTGCTTTCTTCCCCAGGCCATTCTATGACCCCATGATTCCATGGCTCTATGATTCTATTACTCTACAACTTTATGTTTCTATGATTCCATGATCCATTCCCATTAAAAATACTGGATGTGGTACCCAATTGATCTAACTAAAGAACCTAATCTGGGCCTTACTTCCATTTTATTTTTATGTGCATACTAGCCAGAAGCAATCAAGTTTTTTATGGCAATAAAGCCCCTGTGAAAGGGGTGGGAAATCAATTCTATTTGAGAATGCACAAGGAGACATCCTCCAGCCTTAACCTTCTTCACCCCACTGAAAACACCTCTAAGGAATTATCACAAACACCAGAGTTCAATGTGCCTTGCTCCTGTTTGTGCAGAATGGTTACACAGGTTGGGAAAGGGAATTGTTTTTTCCTAAGCAGGAATTTTTTTTATTCCTGGTATTTCTACAACCCATCTTTTGCACTGGGCCATTGTATGAAGCAGCTCTGTCCACTAAATAACAGGACAGGCAGTGAAACAGCAACATCTCCCTCTGATTTTGTTGTTGTCTGGAATAAATTGAATTGTTCTGACTTAGAAATCTGAAACCGAGTGGGTGCCCACAGAGAGCTGCTGTGGGGAGGAAAAAGCAGAGCACACCTCTATGGCAGGTGAATGCACTTGGCCAGAGGAATTTTTTGTTGCCTCAGGGAGGGAAATCCATGTCTGTTGCCACCAAAGATTAAGAAAGGCCTGACAACTCAGCAAATAGAATCACTTTTTGTGTTTTAGGGACTGTGTTTAAAACAATTAACAATTCCTGCCACAGGAACTGACTCCAAAAGATAATTCCAGCTCTCATAAGTTATTGATCTGTATCATTGCAGCACAGTTTCAGTGGACAAGTCTTGGATTAATTATACCTTATTTTAAAATGTCTGACAGGCTTTCCAACACTTTTCACCCTTATATGGATATTGACAAAATTCTACTTTGAAGACACAGCGTAAGTCATTGTTTCCCACATTATTCTATATCCTTGGGTTACATTTTTAATTGATTGCTGTGATTACATACTCATCTTTTTCTAAACTTGCTATCATGTTCACAGATGCTGGGATATTAATCAAGGTTCTCCTTATTGGTGGCTAATCAAAGGACCAATTATAATTTCTGTGGGGGTAGGTACTTCTGAGTTTGCTGATATTACTTACAAGAAAAAAAGGCTTTTATATTAAAATCAGGTTTCTTTGATGAGTTGTAGGAAGAGGAAAGGTAAATGTCTACTGTTAACTGCCTGTGTCCAATGCTAACTAAAAAGTTCATCTTTCAAACAAATTGAAACTTTCCTAGAATTGTCAGTTTAGTTGAAATTAATAGCAAGTGAGTGGATTAAATACTCTATATATTTGAAAATAAAATTTTAGCATAAGAGCTCAGAATCTGACATAAATTTTAATACAAAACTGACAAGGGAAATAGGATTTGTTCAGAGCTGACAACAGATAACAGCTCTTGAGCCCGGCATTTATTGAATAAACTGATGGGCTTTAAATGATTATCATAAATGTTTACTCCCACAAGTCATTAAACCCAAGCAGTGTTTGAAAACGCAGTTAATGAGTGACCTTAAGGTCAGCTATTAAAACTTAATTTAATTGGAGGACAGATGCATGAAAATGAGGGGTATGGAATCACAGAATTTGGGTTGGAAGGGACCTTAAAGATCCACACAAACAATGTGAGTGAAGAATCTGAAGTAAAATTCTAGCCAGAGCTCACTGTGTTTCGATAAAATACTTCATGTCCTTCTACCTCTGTTATTTCTTCTGCTAGAATTGACATAGAGCATCACTAATGGATAGAATGAGTTTGGACTTTCTGGTAAAATGAAGACATTCTTGGACAAAATTAAACATTCAGCCTCACCTAAGGAAGAGCTGATGTGTACAGACACTCCAAAAATGCGTGGGGAAAATCCCTCTGATCATGGAAATCTGAGCAGCCTCACAGACTATGCATAAAGCTGTGCCAAACTACAACTGTAGAAGAATTGATTTGCAAGTTAGGATTGACCTTAACTGCTTTGGAGCTGAGCTAATGCTCCTCAAGGGCTCCTTCAGAGCCAACAAAGGGAAATATGCACTTTTGGCAAGTTTCAGATTCAGATTCACCTGATTTAAAACAAATATCTACCTTGGGAAGAGGTGAGCTGCCCCAAGCCCACCTGAAGCTCTATTAACTCTCCTGGCTGGTTCTACACTGGCTGCAAAGGCAGAACAGGGTGATCAGCTCTGATGGAAATATCTCATTGTAGAGGTATTTAGGCAGAAGAATTCTAATACTGCCCAGAGAGATCAGCCAGAATTTAATGCAATGTTTGTCTCTAAGGAAAATCCAATTGATTTGAGCTACAAAAGGTAAAAGAGAGTCACACAAGCTAGTGATGAAAATATTTTGCTGAACAAAGTGAAAGTCTCAAGTTTTCATCTTCGGCCATTTCTTCAAGAAGGAATACAACTTATTTAAATTCTTGAATGATGCCAGAAGGAATAGTATTAAAGACCTTACATTAAAACTGCAGAAATTACATTCTAACTAAAATAAATAAAAAAAACCAAAAAACAATTTACCAGATTTTCACTTCGAAGTTTTACATCAGAAATTAACCTCTTCTTTTTGTTCCCTCCCACCCCTAAAATGTTGTGAACAGGTCAATTTTGTTCTATTTATCAACATCATCAGAATTCTGCTGAAAAAACTAGACCCTAGACAAATCAACTTCAATAATTCTTCTCAGTACAGGTAATGTATGGAATAATTTTTAAAAACTCAATTATTTTATTTATAATAATAAAAAGTTATGTTGTCTTTTTTAAACAGAGAAGTACTTGCTCAGTGTCACAGACAGGCTCAGTTTAACTGGAATTAAATTTTAGAATTCGCAACCTTATCCCATTCCAAAGGAAATTAGTCAAAGGCTGAGACTCAAGTCACCCTATATTGGCCAAAGAGATGTATTCAGATCAGCTCAGATATCTGGCTTCCAATTAAACTCAGTGGGGAGACAACTAAATTAATTGAATTGACATTAAACCTCTAGATCTGTCTTTCTCTGTATGAGACCTGTAAAGGAAGCCAGCATATTTATTTCTATTTTATATATATTTTTATATATATTAGTTTCTTTTTCATTTCTGCTCACTACTGTGGCACACTGAGTGCCTTAGTTTTTACTTAGAAAAAATTATATTACTTTATTTCTTCTCATCTCTTGTGCTAGACGTCTCTCAAGGTCGACTCTGCTTCTAATTCCTTTGTTTGGAACCCATTACATTGTCTTCAACTTCCTCCCAGAATATACCAGCCTGGGAGTACGGCTTTATTTGGAGCTCTGCATTGGCTCTTTTCAGGTAAAATTACCACAGATCCTTTGGTTCCTTCTTACCAGTTTTTCCATTTTAGCCTTGTGTCCTCATGACAACAAGAACTGCACAAAAAGAATCCTTAGATCCTGAAACCTGTGTCTGCTCACAGAGTTCCTGGTTCTTTGCTGAATTAAAATGTCTGAAGAGGTAACAAATCCTACCTGGCTCTAGGCTGGCCTCCAGATTTTACAAATACAAAATTTCAGATAAGTGTGTAAATTGGATGGGGGACCAAAGTCAAGCGTGGAAAATCTTCCTTGCTACCAATACTTGTCCACCTGCCTTCCCTGACTTCACTAACAAATTCAAGCTGACTTGGGCTGACTTAAATAATTCAGAACCAATCAAAGTTGTAGGTCTAACCCCCTTGCTAATTATTTGTCAAAGAATAAATTGATAATTAAACATAAGCATCAAGCAGTGCCTGGTGTGTGCACCAGCTGCTGTCCCAAGGGATGCCACATCCCTTCCCCTCCTGCAAACATTGGTTTGATACCCCCCACTGCTCTGGATTGGCACACAGGGCATGGACAGCTTGAGGAGCTTGATGCCCACAAGAAAACTGCTCTGGTGTCCCCTCCAGATGGTTTTGCTGCCTGAGCTATGAGCTGGCAGGATCCAATTTCCCTTTATGTCCCTCCTGTTCCCTGTGCTGCACCTCAGTCCGAAGCAGCAGCTGTGGGAATGCCACCAAACCTCCCCAGGGAACAGATCTCTCCCTGGATGATTCCATGGGATTGTTCATGGGATGGTTCTCAGGGAGCATCACCAACAATCCATGAGTTTTGTGCTGGTTTATTCCTCTTGAGGATTGAATCTGTTGTGTCAGTCCTGTCCAACAAACTCTGTCCATTAATCCTGACCTTTTGTACAGGGAAGAGACCTTCAATGAGTTAATGAGTAGTTAATGAATAATTTGATGGAATAAAAGTTTTAGGAGTTTAGCCAGGATCTGGTTGTACAGCTCCTTTGACCTCCTAGGATTGTCCTGGTTTTACTTTAGTTCAGAATCTTAACAAATACATTTAATAGGCCAGAATTGGATCTCATCTGGTGGTCTACAGAGACAGAATTTGACTGGAGAGCTGTGTGAGCTCCATCCATGGATCCTCTTCAGCAGTCTCTGTTTTACTTTCTTTAGAGTGCATAAAGAATCAGCTGTCACTGTGTTGGGTTGGAGAGTGGACCACACTTCCATAACCATCAATCGCGTTTGTGAATTCATAGTATGTGACTGATTTTGATGAAATGCCACTCACCAGGTGTTTATCTTTAAATCTGTTCAGCTTTACTGGAGATCCATAAATTATCTTTCAAGTTCCAGCAATCTCCCACCAATAGTGATACTCACTAATTCACATACCATGAAGGCAGATAATGCAAGTAACATTTTCAGACTGTGTTAAACTTTTTCTTCTGGTCTTTTTCAGGGGTTTATTGTGGCAGTTCTCTACTGTTTCCTGAACCAAGAGGTAAGGAAACTATATCCGATTTATCTTCTACAATATTGCCTTCAGTGGCAAATATGTAGTTAACAATCAGTTTCATACAAAAGATAACCAAATCTTTCATTTTCTTATGGCTGTTACATGGGTAACAATGTTGATGAATTTCATTTCAATGATCTTCATGGGAATGAAGCCATCTAGTGGAGAAATGAACTTTTACTACTTTGCTATTTTGTCAAGTATTCTGGATCCTTTCTGCACTTTTTTTTCCTATAGCAGGGCTTCGAAAACTCCTGCTAAGTCCAGATCAGAAAATATAACTTGCTTCAGTGAAGCAGAGACATCTCCATTTACTAAAGGTCTATGTTTAAATTGGAAAGAATTGCATACTTTTCCCCAACAGTGAAATATATGTTTTTTTAGTGTTTTTGACAGTCTCATGAAGCAACTCAGTATTTCTTTATGTTCTTTATGTTGGTAAATCTGTTTAAAATATTTAAGTCAGAATTTTGCTGTTGATCAGAGAGGAATCTTTCCTTTTAGCTTAGTGTCCAGGTCCATTTACACAGTCTAGATGTGATAATAATACATCTTAAAGGAATTATACAGAAAATTTATCCTCCATATTTTATAATATGTTGAAACTCTGGAATTTTCCCTCATTTTCTGACTCCAGAGTAGCTGAGGTTGCTCCTTTGGAATATGACTGGGATTCAGTTTCAGACGAACACTCTATTGGATTCTGTCTGCAGTTCCTGTAAAGGAGAATTCCATATATACCCACCCTTCTCCCCAGAAAGGGTATCCCTGGAGTGCCAAAGGTGTGTTTAGGAGATAAATCTCATCCTTGGTCACTCTAGACTCCTGGACTGTACTGACTAAACCTTCATTTTCCAGTTTTAAGTTTAAAGTCAAGGGCTGATTAAGCTTCCAAACAGTATTTAATCACCTACATGTGCCATGGGCCAAACTTTCTGAATTATATCAGAAATTCCTGAAATATTAAATTAAATGTTTTGAAATATATTAACATTCTTAGCCTTTTGGTCGAGTTTATGACCATGAATTACTGGCTGCTCTAATGATGTTTGTGTTTAGATAAAAATCCTGTCATTAGTTTATTAATAACCCTAATAATCCCTTTTAACCACAGACCACAGCTACAAATCCAGCTCGACTTCCAGACACACAGCACTTCCATACAGAAATTCCCTTCCTATTAAACATCTGGGCAGGCACACTCCTAACAAGAATCAGATGTGACAGGAGGCTTTAGTGGGTGGCCTGGGCCCTCTCTGTGCTCCTGTGAACATGCCAGGATACAACACACAATGCCACAGCTGTCAACAACACACAGCAAACCTCTCCTGACTGCTGCTGGCTTTCCCCTCATCATCTCAAATGCCAAAGCAGCATTATTTCCCGGCCACAAATTGCAGAATGCTGATTAAGAAACTTGCTGCAGATTATACTTTTCTAGAAGCAGATGGAACCAAGACAACATCCCTTAGCAACTGAGAAAGAGCAGGCAATGTGGAGAAAATATTTTTAATTGGGTAGACTATGCTGGTGAGATTGCTGGTAGAATAAATATCCATAGGAATATTAAAAAAAAAAGGAGAAGGTATATGGAAAAAAGCTAAGACATTTTAGAAATTGAGAAAATGGTTTATAGTGCTAGAGACCTCAAGCTTAGTACTGATAGAACTTCAGGAGTTTTCATCAGTGCAGAAGGATGGCCATGCTGAGACAGGATTCTACTTCTCCCTATCAGCTAAAAATGAAACCAATTGGACAGAGATGTTTAAAAAGTTCTTTTCTAGTCCCTTTTTCTGTCCTGCTTCTTTCCCACTGTGTGCTCCCCAGCAGAATTCAACCACGAAACAGCCTTTTCCTTTGTTCCTGAGGTGCAAACGGAGATCGGCCGGAGGTGGCACGGGAAGAGATACGGGCTGGTGCCAGTGTGGAGGAGGACCAGGTGGACTGTGCCCTCCAGCTCCGGGGTGAAAATGACCACATCTGTGTGCTGAAAACGGCCTCGGGCTCTGGAGGGGAAAAAACCAACCAAACAAACAAAATTTTACCAAATGTAACTATTGCAGCTTATCCTGAGCAAATTGGAACAGGATCCTCCAATTCTGACCATGGAGCTTTTTTGCAGGACAAGCATCGCAAGGACAGATTAAACCCTGACTGACCTTCTAAACACAAAATAACCCTCTCAGTGATAACCCTGCACCACAGCAAACATAAAAATCACCTGTTCTGGTTCACTTCTACACTTTCACAAGTAGTACCCTCCAGTGACACCACCTCTGGAAAACAGAATTAAATTCTAATTTAGTGGGTGCTGGAGTCTATCCAGCCAGTTCAAGCTTTGTTCCATGTTTTGATTCTGCAGACACACAAATAATAAACCAAAAGCCTTGCTAAACTCCAACACCATGACTAAAGAAAATCTTTCAATGTTGTCTTTTTACATTTTCTCTTTGAATCTTTTTCTACTAAAGTTCACAATAAAACGCTCTCAGGTTCTGATGTTATTTCAGGAGTTACAGGTTAGAAAATTCCTGACAGCCAAGTAGCAGGAAAGGGAGGCATTGGGAAGGCCAAGGCTCCATATGATAATCATTAAGGAAATTCTTTGCAAGGAAATGAAAAGAAAAAGCCAACTTTTGCACAGAAAGAGAATGAGACCCCAGGAGATGGACTGGGAGACTGCTAGGAATATTGCTAAATATTTTCTTATGTGTGACTGTTTTTGCTCTCCAGTGTTGTAAAAGATTCAGAAGCGTGAAAATAAACTTGGATTTCCTGTGTTTGTACTTGAGTGGTTTTGTTTTGTTTTATTTTGTTTTTGGTTTTTTCCACAAAAGTGATTGTAACCTGTAGATTAAAAGATTGATTAAACTTTTTGATGGGAATATCAGGGCTTGGAAAGGGGTGAAGAAAGTTAAGCTGTACCAGCCAGTGAGGATCACTGGATCAATACAATTCACTCTGCTCTTCTGAGCATTTCAGTGAGATTTTTCTGATTAAAAATCAGAAATTTCCATTTGCTTTGAAGGTAATTACAGCTAACCTGAAGAAATGGAAAGTTGCTTGACCTAGTTTTTCTATAAAAGTTCATTGTCCTGGAGGCATTTTCCTCTTTCATTAAAAAAAAAGTGTTTTTTTTGGGTTCCCAGTGTTTGGATTTGAGTGGTTTTGTTTTGTTTTATTTTGTTTTTGGTTTTTTCCACAAAAGTGATTGTAACCTGTAGATTAAAAGATTGATTAAACTTTTTGATGGGAATATCAGGGCTTGGAAAGGGGTGAAGAAAGTTAAGCTGGACCAACCAGTGAGGATCATTGCATCAATACACTTCACCCTGCTCTTCTGAGCATTTCAGTGAGTTTTTTCTGATTAAAAATCAGAAATTTCCATTTGCTTTGAAGGTAATTACAGCTAACCTGAAGAAATGGAAAGTTGCTTGACCTAGTTTTTCTATAAAAGTTCATTGTCCTGGAGGCATTTTCCTCTTTCATTAAAAAAAAAAAAAAAAAAGTGTTTTTTTTTTCCCCTGTTATTCTTCTACCTGTAAAAATTGCAGCAATGGCTGAGGCTGGGAGAAGTTTATTTCCATTTCTAAAGTGGCTCCTTGGAACACATTTTACAATGTGAAGCCCAGCACATTGTTTTTACTGGTTTCCTTCCATTATCCAGAAGAATTCAAGCTCATCTGGGCGGAGAGAAAGGGGCTAACAGAGAGAAGCCTTCTCGTGGCTTTCAGTGTGCCACAGCACCCAGCTCTGGTGGAAAAGTGGCAGAACCAGCAAACATGAGCTCTATCCTGGAGAGGAATATTTTTCAGCCTCCCCAGGATTAGGGTCTCTATCAGCTAAAATGATAATAACTCAGGAAAGACTGGTAATTTTTACCCATCTCTCCCCATAAATGTTTAGATAGAAAATTTCGTGCAGCTGCTGCATTGCTGCTGGTGGGACAATCAGCAAATTTACTGTGAATACCATCATGCTCTAAAGGCATAAGACAAAAAGCAATAAAAACCAAAAAAATTCCTTCTTCTCCTGAACAGATCAAGCACTGTGAGGCTCAGCTGATTTCTGAATGTGTGATGGCACTTTCTGGCCTCCCTGTCTCCAACAGTGTTTTAAAATGTCATATTAAGACTCTTGACCATATCAAATGGATTTTCTGGATTGTAATTAGGCTGTGAAATTCTGAAATGGGGTTTCCACATTGACTCTGACTTAAAAGAATGGGTTAGTAACAGATATAAAGGAATATGAACACAGGGACTTCTCAGGGCTCTTGTTTTTAGAGAAATTTGGATTAAGGGATTGACCCAAATCCCTCTGCATCAAATATAGTTGGTCTGCCCAAATAATTTCCATTGGTTCTGTATCATTTATAATAGCAACTATCTGGCTCCATTCCAGTACCTGTGGCATCCATTGTCACCTAAATAGGGTTATTACACACTGAGTGAGTCTTTGTCCTTCTCCTGTCATCTCAGCTTTTTCTAGCATGAAAAAGAGCAGGAATCTTAAAGATATCATTTTTTCCCTTCCTGAAATAAGCCCTAGGGAATATTCTGCTTGGGGATGGCTGAATCTGGAAACAGAAGTGGTTAAAATCACAAGATATGGCTCAAAATATTTAATTAGAGTATTCATATCAGTTATGACAAGGCATGACATGGAGATTAGGATTGCATTACATTTTTACTAAATCCTATAATGAATATAAAATGTTGAGCAGGGTTCAAAACCTGAAGCAATTCAGCTTTTCAGGATGGGAATTGCATTGAATTTAGATTATTTTTATGGCCTTAACATGAGTTTAGGAGCATGTGCACACTTATCACATAAGATTATTTTTCTACACGTTCTTGTCTGTCACATGCAAGGTTTGATAACACAAATATGAAAACTATAAGCAGCAGAAACTCCTTAACCTTTGAAAAATAAATATGGGTAAGTGTGATTTACTTTCACTTGAAGTAGGGCCAGAGCAACAAAAAACTGGGTTGAAGACAGAAAATTATTCCCAGGGTGTGCAAATTGCTACAGGGTTTACAATGCAATGAGTAAAGACAGAAATAAAAAGGTGCTTCAAGGCCTGGGGGTATGAGCTGATCTCACTGCAGGCTGCAGAAGTAAAAAAAAAAAAAAAAAAAAAAAAAAAAAAAAATCAGTTTTAGGTGTTAATTTTCAAGTTTCTGCCAGCTTAGGTGTAAGTTAAATAACTTAGTCTTGAACTTAGTGTCTTACTACAACTCACTGTATGATATTGGTTAACTTTTCTGCTCCTATCCTCAGAAATACCTGCCAGATATCTAAAAATAAGCAATCCCTTCCAATTAGTTTTTTGAATGGAAATATCCCATTTTTTTTTTTGTGGCAGCACTTGGTTATTTTCTTTTACATTCACATTCAGATGGCATTTTCTGTTGGGCTTTTGCCCACTAGTTTTGTCATTATTTTTTCATCTTCACTCAGTGAAGCAATAACCCTTTTACACAGATTTTTTTCTGTCTAGCTTAGTGCCTTACATACTTCCCCACACACTCTAACTGCTAAGTTTAATGGCAAATTCTCTTCTACTAACAGAATATAATTTATATTAACAAAATTAAAGAGCGTATCTCATAAAAACTATCAGAGAACACTTCAGGTTCTTCTGTCTTTATCTGACATCAAGGAAAGGTCACTATTATTGTTTTTATATCATGAAATAATTTCAATTTTCAGTGAAGCAAGGATAACTGTTCAGTACTTTGTTTTATTTGAATTATGATTCAATCTCTGTTGCAGTAACCTCTTCCAAGGGATGTCCCAAAGTGATGATGCTGACCTTAGAGTAGGACACTGGAGAAGAGAAAACATAAAAATATTAAAAGTGGCCCAAAGGTCCTTTAGATTGATTATTGTAATAAAAATTCTACTGGCATAATTTGTTACCTGAACCAATTTGCAGCTGAAATCCTTGCATGTGAGATCCCAGATGTGCTGTGATGCCTGTAGGAAAAGGGAAATGTCTCTGTCTGTCTGTGATGGGGTGGGAACAAGCCTGGAACTTCCTTTAATGATGATTCTGCTGTTCCCTGATGGTCAGGGAGAGCTCTGGAAACTGAAATTGAGATCAGCTTTGGTAGCAAGAGACACAATCACATTTACACCAGCACTGTCTGGCTTCAGTTGTGCTCTGGTATTATCAAATTAAGATGTTAATACGGTACTCTTCAATTCTGCCATTGTCTCTAAAGGACAAAGTTTTTAATCAGATCCTGCTCACTGCAAAATTAGTCAGAATGATGGCGAAGATTTTGGTCAGTGGAAATTGTTTTATGGCACACTACGAAAATCCTATATGTAAAGAGCTTAAAAAAAAAGAATTGCAGTTTCTATGAATATTTCATGATTTTTGGGCTTGCAGAACATAATATTGTTTAGCTGCAAATAAAAATACATCATGTTCATATTTTGTGACATAAATTAAATGACTGGAATGTTTATTTCTACTATATTTTGCTTCAAATGCCACCAGTTTTTAATGTATATTGAAATTTAACAGTACAACAAAAAAGTGCTAAAATATTATTTGTAATTTTATGGATCAATAAGATTTTCCTGTCATTTTGGATGTGGTTGAACAAAACCACTGTGTCAAAGTGGACAATAAATATGTTTCTTAAAGAGACAGGAGCACATACAATATATCTTTAATTTTTTAACACAAATGTCTCCAATGGATCTGTGTTTCTTTATTTCCTCTATAATACTCAGTTAATTTTTCAGACCATTTTATCTATACTGTAGCTGGGCCTGTGCAGAGCTGGTCTACGGAAGGCGTCCCTGACCATGGCAGGGTGTTGGAATTAAATGATCTTTAATGTCCCTTCCGACTCATTCTTGCGCCTGTGCAGAGCTGGTCTATGGAAGGCGTCCCTGAGCATGGCAGGGGGTTGCAATTAAATGATCTTTAATGTCCCTTCCGACTCATTCTTTGTTGGAATTAAATGATCTTTAATGTCCCTTCCGACTCATTCTTGAATTCTTGGTTCAGGAAAAACTAAAACCACACCTTTAAACTGGGAATGAGATTTATCTCCAGCTGTTTTAGCTAAATCAAGTTTAGGAAATGATGAGAGGGTGAGGTAGTGCCTCTCCTCCCCTTCCTAAGCACAAGTTTTATTTTCATAACTCAGGTTTCTAGCCAGAAAAAGCCCATGTTCCAGAGGATTAGATCTACAGGAAATTGTAGAAACACCTGGTTTTGGCAATAGAGTTAATTTCTGATCGGGTGAGGTAGTACCTCTCCTCCCCTTCCTAAGCATAAGTTTTATTTTCATAACTCGTGTTTCCAGCCAGAAAATGCCCCATGTTCCAGAGGATCAGATCTACAGGAAATTGTAGAAACACCTGGTTTTGGCAATAGAGTTAATTTCTGATGATTTGAAGGGATTTTAGAAACCAGAGAAATACCCACACCTAATCCACAGAGTGCCTTTAACAAGTTAAGGATTTTTTTCATCTCCTGAGTGAACAGATAATGACAGCGAGTAAAACAGAACTCTGAGTCCAAATCAGCTTGATGGGAAAACAACCCCCAGATATTCTGTTTATTCTGTGTTAACTGAGCTTTCTCAGTCAGAGAGACCTACAGTGAAAAGGTAAAATGCCATAAGGGAAAATGAAACATTTTAAAGGAAAATTAATAACATCAGGGTAGA